TGTGTGTGTGTGTGTGTGTGTGTGTGTGTGTGACGTGAAGAAGATGATTTCAGGTTTCTGTCTTCACACACGATCGAGCGCTGTATTGTCAAAATTTCAGCTTTCTAGCCTTCCTAGCTCTGGAGTTCAGTTATCACAACAAACAGACACGCGTTCAGAAGCAGCACTGTTATAATGCAGGTTTGTGCATAAGCCAAGCATGCAAAAAATGTACCAGAATCGTGTGCTAGCTGTTATGGCTGTTTGCTCCGGGCCACTTCTCGAAACAACGCCTCACACAGTATGCTTGCTGTACTGGAATGAATGAATGGTCGTAAGACCACGAAATGAGGATATGAAATAAATAGTGAAACGCATATGTTTATTATAAAAAGTTAAGAAGATGCAATGAGGACATGTAGGGAAGCTAAATGTGATCCTGGCTGTCTGTGTTTCATCCCTAAGCTGCAAACACAGACAGTATGCGATGTGGATTGGGGTGGGAATCATCAGTGCAGCCCCCAATCCACCATTTGGAAATTATGATAACATGAATGCGTAATAAGAGAAGAGCATAAGAGAGAAGGAAGATAGGAAAGAATAGAAGGAGGAAGGCTGAAGTGATGAAGGGAGAGGGGAAGTTTTGAGAAAAAAGAAGAAAAAAAGATGGGCCAGCTAACAATCATGCAGCATCCATTATTAAGAAAGCTGAGATTTGAAGCGGGCAGAAAGCTCGGTTCCACCGCGGGGACATCTAATCCGTCCACGATTCGTTCACCCGTTTCGACGGTAAAATTGGTTCTAGCAGGGAGTCATACTCGTTTGTAAGCAACCTTCGAAAGAGAGAGCAATCGATGTCTTGCCAGCAAATGGCTGCTGTTGGCATTTGCTGTCACTCTAACTACTTTCCCAGTGCCTCTGTCTCTCATTTAGAGCGAATATAGCAGAAGTTTTTGGTTTTGAATTTATTGTCAGACAGCATGGGCGTAAGCTTGAAAACTAAGGGCGAAAGAGAGGGAGCGTAATGTCGAGGAAAGCAAATTCCTCTGTGGTGTGTGAGATTGAGGGGCGTTGCAGTGTCTGGTAAAATCCTCACGTTTTGTTTGAAATAGATGATTCCTTATGGCATGCAGCTACAACTAATAGGCAGGTATTTTTAGAAATGACTTCGGAACGTGTCGTTTCAACGATCCTGGAGAACGTTGATGGAATTACGAATTTGGCTCAGCGAGCTTTAAAGATCAAGGATGAAGCCAATCAGTTCTTCAATGGTACCATCGTTTTGAGATGCCTTTTGTGCCGATGATATGCCCTATTTATTGTCGTGGTTGAGCATCGAGATTATTATTTGACTGACTGTCGTTCTTGTCGTTTGAGTACTTGTTGCTTTTATCTTCTTCCGCATCATCGTATGAGGGATCGTTGGCTGCCCAGATATTGACGAGAAAACATCCTCCAAGATAGGGCTTCGAACATTTTATCCTAGTAAATTCATCATCACTAAAGACAGGCCCTTATGATTTCACGCTTTGCTGTGTGTTTTGACAGGAGCACCTCAGATTATCCATCCGCCAGCACCAAGGTGTTATGCCTAGAAATAAGGTGTTATGAGGAAAAATTACTTTTGTTAACAGCAATCATTTAATCAAATGCGACTTCCTGCTCTGCTTTTCTTAGAAAAATATTCC